CTTTCAAAGCATCATTCGAACAAGTACTTACATCAACAACGTTATCCAAATCATTACTGGCTTGTATCTGACCCCTTTCTAAGGCAGTTTGAAAGCCAGTAAAAGCAGCTGTGATCATTCTATCAGCGATATGAAGCGCTCCGCAGGTAACGGCCAATAAGACGTCCGGTTTATCGCTTCGAACACGTTCGGCGATCAACAAATCGAGCCAAGCGGTATCTATGTTATTCTGCTGAAAGGATTCAGTTTCCAGCAAAGTGATAAGATATTCGACTGTCGTCCTAAAATCGCCTCTGATACTCAGCTCCTTCAGGGCTACAACTAAATTCTCTCTGGCTTGATTACGATCTTCGCCCCAGGAGAAGCAATGGCCAAATTGAGAGTCCGCGAACTCATGAAGTCCTCCCGAAGCTCCAACCGAGAAATAGCCCCATACATTCTTGGACGATCGGAAATTCAACTCCTGCACTGTCCCTGAACTCGGCTTGAAACCTTAAAACCCACACGATTGTATAATTTATATATAAAATTAAACTTTTCACGATAGAAAACAATTTTACCTTCGTCAGGATTTTCGCTAGTGATTCTAGCCGCGATAACATGGCCCCACGGTTGAGGCTTATGACGCGGCTGATCAAAATCGATCGGGCTGTCACCCCAAGGGCTTTCACCATACAAAAGACGTATATCTTTAATGTGATGTAATGGCAAGCCCATCGCTATTTGTAGCTGGGCGGCTGGTAAATTCACATCCGATACCATTTCGGTACAAGGATGTTCCACTTGAAGACGTGGATTTAATTCCAGGAAATAATATCTGCCAGCCGTGTCGTACAGATACTCAACGGTGCCCGCGCTAACATATCCCACCATTTTTGCTAATCTTACAGCAGCCTATCATTAGATAACAGACAATTAATAAAATATCAATGTATTGTCAAAAATATGTAAATATTGATATTTACTTTTTCCATCTCTTCGAAAATCTGTGGCTTTGCGATTACGGCAGGCGCCTCCTCGATGATCTTTTGATGTCTCCTCTGGATAGAACAATCGCGTCCGAATAATGATATTGCATTACCATAGTTATCGGCCAATAATTGTACTTCCAAGTGACGAGCGCATTTCGCTAGTTTCATGATAAATATTGGTGAACCAGGTATTTCAATTTGCACTTGCCTAAATAATAGAAATCCTTGAAAATGAATTACACACAATGTTACATAAGTAAATTTTTTTTGAAAGCGAAACTTTAGATTTACCTAAACAAAGCGGGTAATTCCTCGGCGTTTTCAACCTTCCTGATCCCCTTACCACCGCCACCTTCGCTCGCTTTTACCATAACCGGAAAACCGATTTTGTTAGCTGCCGCTAGACACTCTTCCACAGTGGCAACGCATCCTTTTTTAAAAAGTTCCGATGATATCTTGATTTTCTTCCCGCTGTATTGCGCTGTTAATTCCGAACCTGACCAGGGAAGCGTTGGTACGTCCGCGGTTTGAGCAACTATGCTGGATGCTATCTTGTCACCCAAAGCCCACATGGCCTTTTCGGACGGTCCTGGAAAATTTAGGTATGTGAGAATATAAAAGTGCATAAAAACATAAAAAAATATGTTAAAATTTTGCGGAAAATTATTATAATTTTATCAATTCTCATCGCAATGAAATAACAGCTAGTGATAGAATATATTGTATCTTTCGTTTTCTTTAACATTCGACTTTTTATATTATTTGTACCAATGAAGCAGATGTTATTTTTGTGGAGTAATTCTGGAAGCTTAGGATTTTCTGAAGCGTGGCCCCACCCGGCCCAAACCGCATGGACTTGGGTACGTATCGCTATATCGACGATCAATTCCACATTGGCGTAGTTGTTGTTGTTGGTCCCACCCGATACGGGCACGTATTGATCTGCCATTTTGATATATTCCGCATTCGCCTTTAAATCTTCCGGTGTGACCATCACCACAAAACGCACGGCCCTCTCGTTCTTAAACATCTCGTATGACCAGCGTCGTATCGATCGCATACATTTAACCGCTGCGATACCATTGTTGGCGATCAGCACCTGAAATGATGATTCATAAAATAAAAATTCGCAATCAATCATTTTTCCTAGATCGCTTTAGCAAGGATTGAAATTCGCAAATTCTTACCTTGTTGATAACTCTGGAGCCGCCGAAGCGATGTACGAATTCTTCGGGAGTCGCAACGGTAAAGTCCTTCTCGTGAATTCGATTTTGCGCTTGAATCATCACCGTACCCTGCGACATGCTGGGCCTGTTGAATTATACATTAATTAATGAGCATATGTATCAATGAGCATTCATTTATATTATCAAATTTATATTATCACAAATGACATTACATATTTTTCTATCTTTAAACTTCACAAATTATGCCATATATAAGTATCGATCGTAAGTACTCTTCAAGTTTGTTACGAGCAAAAATATCTCGGGTTGTGGCACCCATCTCCAAAGAATAGAGAACAAAACGTTTGAATAAATTATTCTTAAACATTCTTTGCGTAGCAAATTATTTATTATGATACTTGCTACATTCGGCATAATTTCGATAAGATTTGTTTAACTTAACTGCCATTGAATAAAATAACGCATCATTCTGATGTCCAAAAAATAAAAATAATATATTCATTTGACAAGACAATATCGTTGTCGAGTGCACATTTTTTTCTTATTTAAAAAATTTAATCCACGTTCTTCTTCAATGTTTTAAATTATTCATATTTTTTGATTCATTGTAAACAAAGTATCATCTTTTTTTAAATTTTTATTTTCTCCTTTGAGGCGCGTGTCCAATCGCGTCTTTGCGTAAATTATGAAAGGAATATTATTATAATAAAAATTATGTTAATTTTAAAATTGATGAACATTCATGTTCTGATCATGTTTTATTCATATTTTTCTCTTCTGATTGGCGAGACTTTTTTCGGTGTTTTCCGTCATGCTCGTTTTAAAAATATATACGTCGACAAATTGTTTGAGCATTATGCAATTCTCATAATAAAAAACGAATCCAAATGTTTACCAACTCCAGATTAATGGAATAAACATATGATTGCGAGATCCAGGAATCAAATAACTTTGTCCATAGTTATTTTTACAGATCAATTTGGAATTTTTTATCATTATTATGTTTGATTATATCTCCCATTCTTTTAAATAGGACAGACGGTCTGTCTTCTCCTCTACGAGATTGACAAGTTCAAGAGATATAAATAATCCTGCAAGTCAAGTTTGGCGTTACCACATCTGTATGGAATTCTTCTTTCCATTGCTTCTTTCATTGCATTTCGTCATATTTCATCGAGAGTCTTCCATGGCGCAATGACTACTATTAGCAGTAAGGGGCGTACTAAAGAAATATAAAAACTTTCTAAAGACATAGGGAAGATATGGAGAAAGAGAATGAGAAAAGTGATGAGAAAAGTGATAAAAATATAAATGCATACGTAAAAAAATCAAGTTATCTTGTTTTAATGAAAGGACGCAAAATAACATGCAAAGTAGAATTTTTTTTTCTCAGCACTATAATGATCATTGACATGCAAAAATATACGGTTTTCAAAAATGCTCTCCGAGACATTAATTCGAACAGAAGCAAAATAATATGCGAAATATATTTTTTTCTGCTTAGCATTAACGTTACAATAATAATTAATTTGCAAATATATGGTTTTCAAAAATGCATCCCGAGACATTAATTTGCAATGCTTTTTATTAATTCTATGAAACATAAATACTTTTGAGTCAACATGTGTATAATTCATATTGCAAAATACAGCTTGAGGAAAAATTAAAAAATAAATAAGTTTATTTCTTGACTGTCCTGTCGACGCTCAAGGAAGACACGACACGAGTTCACTCAGTTTTTTTTACGGATTACCTAAACTTTTCTTCCAAGATATCTATAAATTCTCCTTACGATTTTTAAAATGAAAGAGACGCAAATATTCCTAAGTCCTTTTATTTTTTTAATAATTTTCTATTTATGAATAATTAATATTTACATTATTTTACATTACATGAGATTCACTTGCTCAAAATTTATCTTCTCTATACAATGTGTTTTATTTTTATCCAAGCATCTAAAATATTTTTTGTATTTTTTTATTATGTAAATGAACACGAAGGAAACAAGTCATCTTAAAAAAAAATAAATATCGTCGATTCAGAAGATCTTTTTGTTAAAATTTTTTATCGCTTTAAGGTTTTATTCAACATTTTTTGCTCTTATAATATGAGTCTCATGCAATGCTCGAGTTTCTTTTATTAATAAAAGTATCAAAATATCGAGGCCAAAGGTCAAAGTGACAATCATTTATGGGATGTTCCGTATCTTATTCCGATTTGAGATAAAACGTGATACATCTCTTCGAGAAGACCTCACTCTGATATTTTTTATCAAAATAATAATAATATCACGCCTGAGAATGCTGTAATACTGGCGTGAGCAAGATCGTAAAATTAAACACGATTCATTGATATCACGCGATACGACATTTCAAATTTGCTTATCAAGCTTTTATGCGCGTATCGAGCGAAAAGGTGGTCTCGTCATCAATTACATTTTTAAGGAATTTAAAGGATTTTAAATTCCTCCTCCGTTTCCCCCGATGTGCGATCATCGAAAGCGCAAAGTTCAAAACATATATGAAGATCGAATGAAGATTTCAAAGCTCACGAATTACGACACGCTCTAAAATTGAAACACACCGCGCGAAAACACATTACGTAACCATTCACTCTCCGTCCAATGTCTAATGTATTATCGCGGATACGAAGAAGAGAGATTATAATTTCCCATTCAGTCTCTCGGTTCTCGAAGAAAGACCGCGCACGAGAAGCGCGCGACAACGTTCCGTTTATATATAGCTTAATTCGGGTGTAACTCGCGATGTTCGCGTGGTGTGTGTACGTAGTACACATGTGTAAAAAAAAGAGAAAAAAATTAAAGGGAGGGGAAAAAAAGGAGAAACGAAGAAGAAAGAAAATTTTTTGCATTATCTCGGAGTTATTTCGCGAGCTACGATAACCGCGTAAGGTCGAATCGCATTTGTGACGTTTGCGACGGTAATACGCGAAATAAGAAATTAGTGGATGTACATATATTTTGTGATTTGCCTAAAACGCGAATGTTTCCGATAACGCGCCGTGTAAAAGGAAGGGAAACGCGTTGCTACGAGCAAGGCTGAAAAAAAAAACTCGCTTTTACAAAAATGCGACGGATTGTATCTGGCCGCGTGGAAGTCTCTTTTGAATATTCAAACGTTCATTGTCGCGCAGTCACAGAGGTGAAAAAGGTTACAGAGCCTAAAGAAAAAAATGCGTATCCAAGTTGGTTTCCTTTCCCCCCCCGGCTCCTCGCGAGTACAGCGGCTTGTGAATTAAAATCCGTTCGTTCGCGAAACATCCGTGCGAACGAACGATTGGAATTTCGTCCGCGTGATGAAACAATCGGAGGCTCCTCTCATCCGTAAGGGTGAATTTCGGGAGGGGGGGGGGAGAAGAAATGCGTATCTCAAAGCGCTGTGAAAATTACAAAAGTGAGGAAATTTATTAGAGGTTGCCGTAAGAAATCGCGCAGGTAATCCAATAAATTTTTTTCCCTTTTGTAACCCATCTCATTTCAAGATTACACAATGAGCTCCTGAAAAAAAAAATACGAAGAAAAAAAAGGGACGAAGTTCACCTGAGCCGCTTGCGGCGCTCGGCCAGTCCTGTCGCGACATGATTGATCTGCATCTGCAAATTGCCGCTATCGCTGCTCTCGCTCGGGAAGCTATCCTCGATCTCCTGCACCTCGTTAGGATCGGTATCGCGATTGGGGTCGGGCTCGGGCTCGGGCTCCCCGACGACAAAGCTCACCGTCGCCTCCGACATTGCTTTTGCGCGAGCGGGTCCCGCGGGACCGACGGACTGGCAAATCCTCTCGCTGGATCCCGCCGACTCGGAAGACGTTCGCTCCGCGCACTCGATGTCACCTTCAAAAATATATTCGCGTGTACACATGGTCCAGGATGAAGTTTTGGATTTGGAAGAAGATTTTTGGATTACGATCTTCCACAAAGTGGAGGGGAGGAGAGATGACTGAGGAAACTTCGAAAAAGGATTTAGACCCACTACTCACCCGGAGGAGAGTCCTACTAGGAGGGATCGCGTGTAAAAACGTGGAACTCCTCGACAGGCAGACAGGCAGGCAGGCAGGCAGACAGGTAGGCAGACAGGCAGGTAGTTCGCTCTCGAGCGCAACAAAAGGAGAAGATAGATGAAGAAAGAGGAAAGAAGAAAAGGAGATGCACGTGCTTCAAGTGACTACTCCACGCGACAGCTCCTCGCTTCGAGATACATGACAGATAGCGCGGAGATAAGATGTGAGATACAGGTGCGTGGATAATACACAGGTGCACGTAGTGGACGGTCGGTGCGATATGAAATTGCGGGAAAAAGTACCGAACAGGGAGTCCAGAAGACGGCGTAGCATACCCAGTCAGGTTCTCCACCTCGTATATATCCGCCTGCGGTCCGAGTGACATGTAAGGATCGTGACGGTCGATCGCGCGATCCACCGCGCCGAGGCTGAACGCGGTTGTTTGCAAAGGGGGTAACTCGCAGAGGACGACTCGTACGCGATCGCCGCGCGTTGCACTGACTAGCCGTGTGAATCTGAATGTGGGACAAGTCGTCCCGCGGCGGGGGCAATACGTATGTGCGATCGCACGAGCCGAGCACGACCAAAGCTCTGGCTCGGGGGTTCAAGGTTCATCGGCGAGTAACGTCACCGAGCGTTGGCGATTTATTTTGCGTTTGATCCCTCGCGGAGACTCCGGCGTATCATCAATAAGGCGATCATTGGAATTTCCGAGCTTTTCTTGGACTCGCTCTCTTCTTCCTCTCCGCTGTCTTCGTTATATCTTTTTTCGTCCTTTTTTTTTCTTCTTTTTTTGCAAGTCAAATTCGCAAAAAACGACGCTTCGCTCATTAATGCGCAAGGCAGATGCGAAGAGGAGGGGCGCGTTTGTGCTTACGTCGTCTTCAAGGATAGCGTGCGTCGGAAGTGAAGAAACACGCTCGATTACGCTCGCAGTGGGCTCGTGATTGCGATCGCGAACGCAGGTTTCAGGTGGGCGATCTCGCGCGAACGAGCAACCTGTAGGAATATGAAAATGAGAATCGAGGCGAATGAGAATCGAGTTACGAGCGCGCGAGTCGTACGAAAGTTCCGAAGTCAACGGAAAGGCAGAGTCCTCCGGGATCCTCCGAGAGTTCACTTCTCGCACCTCTTGTGAAGAGACTCAAATAATTCGTGTGAAGAACTACGCTTACCGAGCCCGACGTCCGTCTCGACGAAATTTAATTACACACGCGCGCGTTCAATTCGGCCGTTGTTGAGAGATGCAGGAGCAAAGAGGAAGAAGAAAGCGGGACGAGAGACTTGAATATATCTGACATTCATTCATTTCGAGGACGGCGGTCTCTCCCTTTCTCGACCCTTTTCTCTCCTCTGGCGATCTCTTCCGTTTCGCAATCTCCGCATTTTGAATCGGACACATTCTCGCGTGCCAGTCTCTATAGATTTTCACGCGAGGCTGTCAAAAAATGAGGGGAAGGCGGCGATTGGCCGTGCCGTGTGTCAGGCGACGCGTCGGCGGCGCCGATTGGCTCGCGCGCGCCGCGCGGTGCCGTCCCCTCCCCGTCGCTCCCCGGGCCGCTCGGACCATCGCCGCCGAAACGCGTCGGCGGCGTGCGAGCGCATTTCTGGCGCGAGGGTCACGTGTCAACGCTCTCCCCCGAAATCGCGTCCCGGGCGCGAGGACGGCTCGGAATCCCGACGTCTTCCTCGCGCGCGAGGACGAAACGAGAGCTTACATTACGAGAGAAAAACGTCGACTCACCGATGACGGATCTTGCGCGGCGGTGCGAGCCGCAGCTTCTCCTGGAGGTTAGGTTCGTCCGCACGTTCCTGTTCTGTCATTCGAGATAGGTCGGCGGTTCCGCGCGGGGTCAAAACTCCGGGACGACCGGTCCACCGCGTTGCGCCACGACGTCTCACCTCGGGATCGTCGCGATCGGTCGCGACACGAGACAAGTCACCGTCACCGTCACCGCATGACCATATAATATAATCTAATTTCTTTTTTCCCTTCCGCACGAACGTTCGCTATTGGGTCGCTACGTAGAGAAATGTAGGAAAAAAAGGAGGGAAAAAGAGCCGCACACACCGACATTGCCGTTGCATCGTCACCGAGCTCGTCCTTATCGGCCGGGCCTCGGTGTACGCTTCGACGCGGGGTGCGGGGGAGGCAGGTGCGACATACGCGAAGGGTTGAGATACTAACGATCGCGAATCTTCCATGGCCGTGTCCGGTAGATAAATATCCGACGAGCGTTGACGGTTCTCAGGAGGAAAAAAATATATTGACATATACATTCAGAAAACACGTGACGATGATACAGAGCGTTTAATATAACTGGAATATTTTTATTACATACGAATAAATTTGTCCTGACCACGAAGATGATCCCGGAAGACAATTGAACAGAACAGACATTATCGATTGTCGATATAAATATCCCATTGTATACAATTATTATATATATACAATTATATACAATTGTGTGTTTTAAGTTTCTCCGGATGGGGAATTAACGCCTTCAACTCGATCGCCGAGCGATCGTATAGCACAATTATACACAATTGTGATTAAATTCAAGGTTTATTATTACGCATAAATGTATCATAAAAGATAAGCGTATCACTGCAAGGTTGATTTTTCTATTTAATTCTCTATTATTATTCGCGTGGACAATCAGATATAAATACTAATACGCGGTCTTTCTTTGGATATCTTCATATATTGATGTCAGAAATGTCAGAATAATAATAAATGACAGAATATCACATTGCAGCATAAAATCGTGAGGGAATCCCGACCTTGGACTCGTTCGATATGAGTCAAAAAATCGTTGACGAGAGTCATGACGAAAATGCAAGATCCTGTCACGTTTTGAGTGTTGCGCTGAGCAACATCATCAAAAACAGCGTAAACGCCGATTTTCGAAATCGTTGCTTCGAGATATTGCGAACAGACAGCTCGTTTGGAGCCCGAGCAGTGCTCATAGAAAGTTTGTTATCTGTCATATCTAAGAAGCGTTCAGAAGAAACAGGCAAAGACGACAAGAGTGTGAAGAATGTAGAAAATAAAGAATGACTTCAATCAAATTCCGATTATTTTAATTGAATTAACCTGCCAAGTAGTACCTGTTAAGTAATATTATTTTGCGGTTTTCCGTTTCAAAGTATATTTTACGCATGAAAATACATAAATTTACAAAATTACAGGAAAATTAGAGAAGAGAAACGTTATACTGTGTATTTACTGAAATAATTTATCGGTCAAATCATGACATTTTTTTAAATCTCTGTCAATGTAGATTAACTTTAATCTCGGTTTAATTTACATTTTACTTTGTTTTAGTTCTAAAAATTAGAAAAAAACAGAATAGATTAAATTAATTAAATTTGTAAGTAAAAATGGACATTAATTGCCAATTAAGTTAATTGAAGTTTAATCGAAGATACCACTAAATGTTATGGCGCAATATCTATCTTGTTTTTTTCAAATAGAATTTTTTTTTTAGGGAAAAACGATGTATTTAGATATAAGCTTACAATTTAATAAAATAAAGTAACATTTCCGTAAACTTTTCCACTTGTTTACAAAACAATGTATTGTTCATCTCTGCATTGCTTGTAGAGTAACTTTTTTATTGATTACATCATTCGCCATTAATTAACGAGCATTGCAATGTTATCACTATATAATGCGCAATGTTGATATGTTGCAATATCAATACACATATCGTGTATCGATAAACAGAAGCTTATGCTGCGCATGCGCGTACGCTCTTATATACGCACACATACAACTCGTTAATTTAAAATGTTAACAGCTCTAAAATACTGCCTCGGCATTTTAGTATTCGAATTTTTGTTTCCTAAAATAAAGGAATCTATCTTTAAAAGTGTTGTTACAATTTGTAAAACGGAACGTCCTGTATAAAATTATATAAAGATAAATGTACAGCCGAGATATATGATAATCTCGTTGGCAAAAGTTGGCGACACTTGTGATGGACGCGTCGAGCCACGTCAAGTTGGCTCGCGCGAAGTTAGGTTAGGTCTGGGACGGTAGTTAAGTTGACGGGTTGGTGGGTAGCAAGCGGGCGGGTGGGATCGTGGGCAGTGCATCGTAAGGAAAGCGGCGTCTCTGATCTGGTCTCGACGAAGGTTAACTCCCGCGGCCGCCCCGCGGAGTTGCACTCGCGTTTCGGTCGACGACGAGCGGAACGGTGCGATGCGGTTTGAGAACGAATGTGAAGCCGCGTCGAGATCGCCGTCGTCGTTGTTCGTCGTCGCTTCCTCCGCGCGAACACCACGAGCACCAGTCCCAACGTCACGTCGGTGAACGGTGGCAAATGGGAGGCGGCGGACACGGTGCGGAAGCGCGTACGTTCCTCTCTGGGCACGCGGCGAGACATCCGGCTGACCAGTGACGAGCAGTGGTTCTCAAATCGGGAGCGGTGCGTGAGTACATATGTCCTTCCCTTGGGTCGCACTCTCGAGTCCCATTTGGTCCCGATTAGTCTGTTCCGACATGGATCGGCCTTGTTTGCAGCATTGCGTCGCGTTGCATCGCGCCGGCATCTCCTTTCTTCTCTCCCTCGAGTTATACTACTCTTGCCCGAGTGTGCGCGACGAGAAGGTTGGGCGTGCGGCTGACTGAGAAAGAGAGATAGAGTAAGAGGAAGGAAGAGAGAGAGGAGGGGGGGGAAGAAAGACACCGCTCGTGACATAATAGCGCCGTTATATCCCCATACGAAGATTCGGCCCGCACAGTGACGAATAAGAAGGAGCGAGAGGAGAGGGAGGGGAGGGGGAGGGAAGCTGTGGGGACCCACAGCTGTTCGCAGTCTTCGCGATTTTGCCGGTGCGCAGGGAGATCCGCGACATCAACCCTTTCCTCTTTCTCTGCGGCCTCTCCCCTTCTCCTCCTTCTCTTTCTCTCCCTCTCCCTCTTCCTCTTCCTCTCTGCGCGCCCGTTCGCGTACGTTCGCGATGTAAATATACACGGTCGTTCGGTCCTGTCCGAGTGCTGTGGATCCGCGCTGTATTTCGGTAATAGTTTCGCCGTGGTGGTAATTTTTTTCGTGTCGAGCGCGAATTGCTCTACGAGAGAGAAAAAAAAAAAATAGGAAAAAAAAGAAGAGAAGGAAGATCTCTCGGCGCACGAATTTGCGACGGCGCGAGGCCGAGGATCTCTCGCGTCGCGCGGCCTGAAAAGCCGCGTTGTGCGCCTTCGGGTTATTGGCACTTCCGCGCGCCTTAGATAATAGACTCGCCTTGTTATAACGCATCGACGGGGCACGGACAACCGCGAGATCGGCGCTCACGGGCGAGGGGAATCGAGAGGGAGGAGCGTTAACGTTCGGGCGGCGTTGATTCCTCGCGACGGGAAAGCGACGTTTAACCCTGCCGTCCGGAGTAGAGAATTAAGCGATTGTCGGGACGTTCATTTGTCGCAGGATCGTCTAAGAGTTGTTTCGAGATGGAGCTGTAGTTACGATTTCCTCTCTGCCCGACGAATCTTCGGTTTTAGTTGCGCTATATCGGATAACACGCGACGTACAGACCGTTAAAGGAAAAAAAAAAAAAAAAAAAAAAAATAGTAAGCGGATCTCGTCTCCAAAGACGAATGCTTTCTTCGCGAGCGATCGTCAGTGAGAAAGAAACCCACGATCGATAATCCATGCTGTGCTTTTCTTATAGAGATAATTAAATTTCTATTAATTTAATATCGGATACTTCAGAGATTTGTTAAATCTTTAAGTAAACGCAGAGCTCCGATAACGAGCAGACATAAATACGATTAGTCATTGGGAAATGTGAAGAAGATATCCTTACATGGATATCTAGTGTCTAACGAATATTTCTGGCAATAGTAATATTCAGATTTTACGTTGTGTCTGTACAGAACAATTGCGACAAGTGAGAAGCGATGGTCCGACTGAGAGAAACGTAAAAACCTGCCGTCACCCTGGCGCGCGACAAATCGAGTCGAAGACCTGGATCCTCGTCCTCCTCGTCCTCGTCCACGGAAAGGCTGCAAAAGATGCCTGGGCCATCGACACAAGAGAGGCCCCGTGCTCACCGGCTCACCGACATCGAGTCTCAGCCAAAGGTTAAAGTAAAATTTGTATGGTGTATGTTACGTTTTAAAAAAATTATATCTTGCTCGGCCGTCATGGGCTCATATCACTTATTTAAAAGCTTTTAGAAAAATGTCAAATTTGTTACATACAAATTTAATATAGACATATGGAGGGAATTCTTGGTACTTAACCTCTTTGATGAAATTGCAGAGCTTGGGCGGCAACCGGACGGATGATTTCAGCACGCCTGTCAGTTCTGGCAGCAACATGAGCAGTATCGCGCGCTTTCCGAAACTCGACGAGTGCGCCCACTTTCACTATGAGCACGTCGAGCTCGGTACACTTGAGGTACACGCTGAACGCGAAAAACAAACATGAAGGATCTTGTTGTAAGATAGTTTGACTTTCAGGTGTCTGTCAACGAGGATTCCAATGACTCGGAGAGTTACGCCATACGAATAACATCCGGAGACGCGTGTTGGACGCTACAGAGATCTTATGACAACTTCGTCATGTTTGATAAGCAGCTTCACCGTTGCATATTCGACAGAAAGTTTTCCTCCTTAACAAAGCTTCCAGATGTTCGGCCAAAAAATGCCTGTGATATACTGAAAGATTATTTGAACCGGTTCTCGCAATTGAATCATGAAGGCCTAAACTGTGGTCCAGTATTAAATTGGTTGCAACTCGATAATAGAGGAAGAAGGATTCTGGTTCCAGAATCGGATTCCTGTCCCATCAATACGCCAGCTGTCGCTGCGGCGTATGCCGTGAGACCTTATACAGCTCAAGCACAAGATGAAATCTCCTTCCAGGTAACATCACTATTACTCAAAAAGTAGTAAACCTCTGCAGTTAAAATTCGTGTGATGACTAATAATTAAAATGATTTATATAACAAACAGGTAGGCGACATGATATCCGTTATAGACATGCCTCCTCCGGGGGAAAGTACATGGTGGCGTGGAAAACATGGATTCGCGGTTGGATTTTTTCCGGCTGAATGCGTTGCCGTAATCGGAGACAAAGTGCCACGTCACTTGACGGTTTCGACGACTGTCAGATCGAGGTTACCAGTAAAACCTGTACTCCGGAAACATGGCAAACTAATCGCTTTCTTTAGATCCTTCATATTGAATCGGCCTTCGAGAAGAAGGTTGAAACAATCTGGTATTCTGCGAGAGCGGGTATTCGGCTGCGACTTGGGAGAACATCTGCTAAACTCTGGTCAAGATGGTAAATTTTATTCATTCAGCACATTTTTAATAATTTAGATATGAATTATGTAAAAGAGAATGAGAAATGAAAAAGATTATTCATATTATAGTGCCTACTGTTTTGACGTGCTGTGCGGAATTCATAGAGAAACATGGTCTAGTCGATGGTATATATCGCCTTAGTGGCGTAACGTCTAACATCCAGAAATTGCGAAACGCCTTTGACGAGGACAGAGTACCGGCGTTGCATTCCGATGAGAGTATATTGCAAGATATCCACTCCGTAGCATCGTTATTGAAGATGTATTTCAGAGAACTGCCGAATCCATTGTGCACGTATCAACTTTACTCCACTTTCGTCAATGCGGTTCAAGCTGGCAGCGACGCCGAAAGATTAAGACGTATGAGAGACGCGGTTAGAAAATTACCGCCACCGCATTACAGGTAGTCCATTTTTTATTTTTAATTGACTTGACAATTTATTTTATTTATTTATTTTAAATCTTTGTTAAACTGTACGTATAGGACATTGGAATATTTGATGCGTCATCTGGTGAGGGTAGCCGCACGTGGCACAGAAACAGGTATGACTCCTCGCAATGTGGCCATCGTCTGGGCGCCGAATCTCTTGAGGTGCAAGGAACTAGAAGTAGGCGGTGTAGCAGCGCTTCAAGGTGTTGGGGTCCAAGCGGTTGTGACGGAATTTCTAGTCTGTTATGCGGAACTTATATTCGGAGACGGTCCAGTTGGCAGACCAAAGTCTTTGGCAATCACCACGTCCGCGCGATTGCTTACTCTAGAGGAAGCGCGCAATAGAAGCCTCAGAGGCGAACCAGATTACATAGAAGTAGGGGCGGGTCCAGCCGGTTTACCACTGCGTTATCATACTGTCATAGAACTACCACGCAAGAGAAATGGTTCGAAACGATCGCCTTCGCTAAATTGGAGAGCGCTGTTCGGTAGGGGGGCTATCGCGAAGACGAGACAAATTGGTACGCCACCTCAAGCGGAAACGGTGCCAAGCTCCTTGAATTCCTTGCGGCGATTGAGACCTGTCAAGAGCGCCGACAGCTTAGACGGCGAGGATGGATTGGGACCTCTTTTGGGAGGACCACCTCCCATCAGAACTTGCGGTCACAGTCGATCCGTTTCGCATGACTCATACTTTGATCACTTGGCCGACGCGCCCAACGCATCCTCACCGTTGGATCTCTCGGAGATACAACTAAATTTCGATCTCGAAGAGCGAGAGATGAGGATGCTTTCGGAAGAGGAAGGTGGCGGGATAGCGTCAGTAGAAGCGTCACCGCGTCGGCAAAGAACCGAAGGAAATCAATGCGCCGCCGCTACCGGTGGATCCAAGAGGAAACGATCTCGTTTAGAGGAAAGACTGCACTGCGACGTCGAGTTGCGTTTCATAGACAGCCAAAGTCCCGATCAGGTAAATTAATGTAAACTATTCTAATTTCTATAACCAGTCTCAACTATTTTCTGCATCTACTTTATGTATAATTCATCAAATCTTTCAGGTGATGGTAGCAACCAGTGCAGATATTCACAGTGTTGACACACCATCTCCGTTACAAACGCCAGGCTATCTGCCATTGTTGTCAGAAGCTTCTACACCATTAACGCCCGCCACATTGCAAGGGTCTCACTCCGCATCGCCGATACCGGCTAATAGTCCCAGAATAAGTTTCCGAAGTTTCACTTTGCCATTAGAGATTGGCGACGAACGCGATGGAAGCGGTACAAATAAATTAAAGGAAGCTAGCGTGTCGTCCTCTGACAAGTCATCGGAGCCTAGCCATAGATTATCCATAAATTCAGAGGACCGGGATAGGGGATTAGAGACGTGCGAGAGACTCGTAACTTATGATGAACATGCGAAATTACGCAATAGAAACGCGACCACGTCGCTCTCGCGCGTTGAAAATCGAGCATCGATTCAATCGAGTGTGGTCGCCTCGATTTTCAACGACACAGAGATGACACCATGCAATAGATTATCCTCTTCGTGCGAAGCAACTGCGAGCAACGATGTAACAGGCGGACTGAGCCTGCACTCTGTAGAGATCTCGTCTAAATCCTACGAAAAAAGGAAGGAGGTAACCAAAGAATGTGGCGAATCTGTCGATCCGCCGAGTCTCACCACCGATCTCACCACCGATTTATCAAGGTTGCCATCTAACACGACCGATCTCGATTCTCCGATGTCGTGCGAGCAAACTCTGCAGGAGTTGGACGAGTCCGAATTCGTAATCTGCGACAGTTCCGACAAAGTGTTTACTAATACGGAAAATCCACGCGCGACAAGCAGCAATGATTCCGGCGACTGGGTGATTGTTGGAAAGACGACGACAAATTTTACAACACCGATCAGCGAATTGACTAGTCCCAATGATTCTTTCGTAGAGAGCGGTGGAAATCCAACGTCGGAGAACGTCCCCGAAACATTATTAGAACTTACGTTGCCTGAGACCACGGACGCGTTTATGGGAGTTGGTGACTCGATGGAAAGACATATTCCGCAAAACGAAAGCGAGGAAATGATACTCGATATTACAGATATGAAGAATTCAAGTCATGGGCATGACCGGGTGGAACCCGATCCGCAGACGAGTTTCGGTCTTGTAAACGAAGATAATCTCGCAGACGATACCCACTCTCAACTGTGCGATCGAGAGAACGGCAATCGTTACTCGTGCACGATGGACATTAATACGAGTGAAGAATCTAATGCGAGGGAACAGCGGCAGCAGGTCCATGCGTGTTACATCGAGGCAGATAACGCGAATGTATTTGGTACAAATCGGAACGAGGTGCGCGACGAGAAGGAGCTATTTGGGGAAACGGAGACTTTCGAGAACTTTCATCGTCTGAGGGATACGACCACGCAGCAACGGGATTGCGCGACGCGCACCTTGCACGTCATGAACCGTTCACGGTTCACAAGCAAATCTGGGGATCAGAAAACGAGCGTTACTGTAACGCGAGACGATCATGACAATGACCATTGTACAAACGAACTGTCGAAGAAGTGCCAAAGTTTCGGATATAATAATACACAGAAACAGCAGACTAATACGCAACAAATACGTAAATGCGCTTCCAAACGTAGCGACGAGGGTCATAAGTGCTCCAGCCTGCAGACTAATCAAATGCAGGGCAACATCCAGATGAGAATACCTTCGGAGAACGCGGCCGAGCCGTGCGAAGTAGCGCACGCCCCGGAAGGGGCGTCCGAGCTTATGGAACGGACGTTGGATACGTCGAGTACATTCGCGAACGCCCCGCCTCCGACCATCGACGATACGGTGGTTCTTCCCCCACGAGACACCGCAGCGATCTTGCAGGAATTGGCCCTACAAAGATTGTCCGGGGGCGCTGTGGGAGACGTGTCCGCGTCCACGAGAAGAAAATACGAAAGCGAAACAATCAGAGATCGAAGGAGCTTTGATTCGGAGATTGGCAGGGAGATCGTCAGGGAGAGCAAAATGAGACAGGAGCTGGATTGCGCGAGGGGCAAGTCCGAGGAGTCATCGCATTTGCCGCCTTGTCTGCGAGCGCGTCACGCGCGAGCAACACGAGCGGCGCTGAGTCGTTCCTTGGACGAGGCCAAGTTCAATCGAATGACGGGGGACATCTCGCTTTCGGTGAAACCAACATCCGAGGACGCGCAGCATTGCTCGACCCCTAATGTTGGCACCAGCTCCGGCACCTGTTCTAACGCCCCCGACAAGATCCAACTAAAGAATCTCGGCGGCCTGGATTTGGGAGACCCGCAGTGTAGAGAAAGAATTGAAAAGTACAAAGAGGAGAGAAGGACGTTCTTGAGAGACAAATATCGGTCGGAGAGTTTCCGCGGAGTTTCGTCGAAAGCGGAAGACGACGAGCAGGCATTATTAACAAGGTTGAAACAGAGAGCTTCGAGACCTTCTCTTCATTGATGAAATTTGGTCCTTCTAAGACAAAGAAAGAGAAGGAGAACGATCTTTCGTTCTCTATATTAGCGTAAATGAGTTCTTAAGTAGTTAACGCGTAATACGATCTCTACCTGCGTCTTAGAACAAGTGTAAATTATAGGGCGGCTATAATATTGAATCTAATCAACCACGCGACCAAATTCCATAACCCTGTTCTTAACGCCGCGTTTGCTTTTGTTTACGAAGCAGCGAATATAGGGCAACTAATAGGAATGGTACATCGAGAGCAGACATATATCTAAATGATAATAATAGAGAATGTTATCTTAAACCACATAACTTACAACTCATATTTTTATTGAATTTATATTCGATATCCCAGGTATGTATACGCTAACTTAGGCTTATTTGTACTACTTGCGAGCGAATGCCACTGCATTCGATGACATATTGTTTATGTAATTCTGCCAAACGCTCTTTTAGCTAGATTACACTAAATCGCTTTCACTTGAATCTCACCGACGTCGTGTGTAACGTGATTGATAATGAAGGTGAATTGCGACGAGAGGACGACGAAACTAGTTAGGCGAATCATAACTCATCCTCGTATCGTCGATCGCCATTGTTAGCTGAATTGTACGAACGCTTTTAAAGCTCATTAATTTATTACGAACTCAAAGAAAGGTTCATTTTTATTATTGTTAGAAGCTTTAATAACGATTCTCTTTGTAATTATTATTATCATTATTAATATTTGATTTTTATATTTACTCATTCTTTATACTGTTATGTGCTAGCGAGAAAACATATATAATAATAGTAATTCAACTGCTTTGTATGTACCAGAGTCAACAATGTCTCGTGTGTAAATTTCTCGCATCACACAAGACGTTGGATTCACCTGTTGCTTTTACGCGTCGTAGGTAAAAATCCCTTGCGGGAAAAAACCTTAACCGTATCTTGACTTTTTTTTATTTATTTTTTTTTTTATTAGAAAAAATTCCTCTGAAATGAACCGTATAAAATCTGGTTCACGTTCAATGGTCCTTCGGATAGCGAAATTAACTTCACCGAAATTTAGATGGGTAACACATTTTCCTCTCGCGAGTAGTCGCCGAAAATTTCTGGTACATACATGAAAGTCTAACTAAATTGCGCATTGAACGTCGGAGGGAACCTCGACGAGTTCGTTTCGAACGGCGTTAAAACTGGACGTTTCAATTCGCGCGTCAATGTTATTTTCCCCTTATGGACTGGTCCATAATGATCTTTTGGAACCGTGTTAATTCTCTCGATTAGTTATTACATGTATAACATATATTGATTTTGTATGCGCTTGTCGATGGAAGGCTCGCTTAAAATCAAGATTACTATCGAACCATTTGCGGGTTCCTTATGAACTTTAACGTTTATCGCGTGCATCGCGCGCATTGGCCTCGCGTTTCATTAAGTTTCGATTACTAAGCAGCAGCTCTGCTTAGCTACCTCATTTCGCTTCATCTCATCGCTATCACGGACGACATTAGGATCAGTTTACGTTCATAGCTTTCTTTTATCTCTTTATTTTATTGGTTTTTTTCCAAGCGTTTTTTTTTAATCCGTGAAAAAGAG